CAAAACAGGACACTTCACATCTCAGTGGCATCGGCACCTTTGAACCTCAGAGCACTGTAGCAGGGGACAAAGACGTAGCTAAATGATTGTTGAGANGGACAAAGACGTAGCTAAATGATTGTTGAGGTAGCTAAACAAACACATCTTGTCTCGGTTTTTGGCTTCATTCAGAAAAATGCTCAGAAATAGAACACTGATGACTCCCGTGTCCTCTCTCGTTATCCGAGGACACTGACAGATGCCTCAGGTGATGCCTGGACTCATCACACCGCAGTGAACTGAGACTTTCTTCCCCGTGGACATTCGGGCCCCTTTCTTGCCTTGTCTTTGTAAAAGTAAAACATTACAAATGTTATTTAATCTCTTTTTGTCTGGATTTGCTCTGTAGACTAACTGAAGATCAGTAGGGCTCATATGCGATGGTCTGTGAGGGAAACACAATTTATACAGCTTGTGAATTCTCAGGTACACGAGTCATACACAGTTTCTAATTAGGTGTTTTAAGGTATGTTAAGAATGCAGGAAACAGCATATGGNTTCTAATTAGGTGTTTTAAGGTATGTTAAGAATGCAGGAAACAGCACCTAGAATATTTCATAGTTCTTAAAAACATAGTACACAAATTAAAAATAGCTCTCATAATAAATGCTACCGTGAGCATGTTTCATTTTGTGAAATTCACTTTATGGACTTCTTTTTAAGAGCAAATGGATAAAATGTGTAATTTGGGGCCTCCCTCACCAAAACCCTGCAGGTGCCTCTCAGGTGTGTCATCTCCAAGCAGCTTTATCAGGTCCCCTCAAAAAGACACTTGATTCTGATGGAGGCAACGAACAAAACAAAAAGCCCGAAGAGAGGTCTAATCCTCCATTGTTGAAGATGACCAGGGAGCGATTTTAAAAGCCAGTCTCTCCAAATGTCCTCACACATGTTGACTACAGGTTATCAGGGAAAACTCAGTTCTTCATAGCACAGGATGGTGGTGGGGCTGGTGAGGCCGGAGTTGTGGCCTCAAGGATAAGATAAGTGGATTCTGGGGGGACGGAGGAGTGTGACAGA